TGCCCGCCCTGCGGAACGCCCTCCCACCAGATGGCAAAGAGAAGAACAACTACCAGACTTTTAGAAGACATCTGAAGGCAGCCCTGTTTAGGGAAGCTTTTAATGTTTAAGAGACTATTGTATTTTAATTTTTTGTTGAAAGCCACCCAGAGTGACTGGGGAAACCTAGCCAGATGGGCGGGGTATAATAAATAAATTATTATTATTATTATTATTATTATTATTATTATTATTATTATTATTGACAGTCTCCCTCAGGAGGTTGTGGACTCTCCTTCCTCGGAGGTTTCTAAGCAGAGATCGGACGGCCCTCTGTCATGGATGCTTTAGTTGAGATTCCTGCATTGCAGGGGGTTAGAATAGATGGCCCACAGAGTCCCTTCCAACTCTATAATTCTATGATTCTATGAATAGGGAGAGGGGATATATATATATATAAAAAAATTGTCCAGTAGCACCTTAGAGACTGTAATGGTTCTAGGGGTTGCTCGTGCGTAAGTTGCCGCCACTCCTGGCTAGGTTACCTGATTGAACCCTTTCTGTCTGGACAACCTCCCAGCATCGTGACTGTGTCTCAGTCGCTGGCAGAATCCGTCAGTGGCGTTTCTTGAACCTTTTCCAGCAATAAATGCTCTTTGACGCCAAGTCTCCTCCTACTCTCCCTGCGCGGAAGTCTTCTGCGCAGGGAGGGGCGTGGGCAGCGGAGTACCCGTACTCTCTCCGCTGGTCTCCGGCGAGGAGTCCTGGAGGCCTCCCTCTCCGATTCCCCCATTCTGCCCCCCTTCTCCACTGGTGTTACGCTGATTTCCTTCCCCCGCAGATGGGCTGCCTCTCTCCCTACTGGGACCCTTCTCCGGCATCCCTCTGGACCCTTCCCTCCGCCTCTAGCTCCGATGGCAGTTCCCTGACAGAGGACCAACTAAGTTTGTTCTTGGTATGAGCTTTCGAATGCAACACCGAAAGCACATTACCAAGAACAAACTTAGTTGGTCTCCTAAGGTGCTACTGGGCAATTTTTATTTTCTTATTATATTTCTACTGTCAGACCAACCACGGGCTGCCTACCTGAATCTAGGGGCAGGGAGACCAGTCACATCAGGGACCATGCTCAGCCAGTGGCTCCTGAGACGCCTCAGCCTGCGTTTTTTGTCACTAGCCAGTCAGGTCGCAATGGCAGTTTCAGGCAGTCATAAGAACATAAGAAAAGCTTGACTGTTTGGAGCAGAGCAAAGGCCCCCCCAGCCCTGTACTTACAGTGGCCAACAAGATGCCCATAGGGCTCCCGAAAGCAGGTCCTGAGCACACCAGTGCTTTCCCAACCTGTGATTCCACCTCTTCAAGATCCCCACTGTTCTAGGTTCTGATCTTTGAAATAAGTGTCAGGAATGGAGGTTTCAGACTTCACTTTTTCTCCTCCGCCTGATTTCTCTCCCCTCCTGATATCTCCTTTCCTCTAGCAGTAGCTACCGATGGAGGAACACACGGTGACGCAGACGGAGCACATGGCCACCATCGAGGCCCATGCGGTGGCCCAACAGGTGCAGCAGGTCCACGTGGCCACTACACGGAGCACAGCATGCTCAGTGCGGACGAAGACTTCGCCCCTCTTCCCCCGAGGACACTTCCTACACGACTCGACATCCTCAACTCCACGGCTACTGATGAGGTGACCGCCCAACCTTGGCCGCTGCAGGTACATTGCTGGCCCCCTATCCTGTTTCCCCCACTTGCCCTATGTGCCCTAAAAGGGGCAATAGCATTTCTTCCTCTCTTTTCACATCAAGACTTGACTAGGAAGTGCAGGTTGGCCACAGGTGCCCAAGGAGGAGGCCCAAATTCTTGAGGGGATCCCAAATTTAGAATTGATACCCATAGTTTTTTTTTTATTTTGGTGGAAGAAAATACTCGTATAGTCATAACTCATGTTCGTCCGCTTCATGTTATGTTCTTCAGGTTGCGACCTGGAAGTACCGGAAAGGGTTACTTCTGAGTTCGCCATATGCGCAGACGCGCAAAATGACGTCATGTGGCAGAAGCAGCAAATCGCAAACCCCGTGCATGCGCAGACGACGCCGCTGTGGGTTGCATTCCTTTCATGTTGAGAACGGCCTCCAGAATGGATCCCGTACAGTGATACAGAGGTATCACTGTACTGAGCACGGAAGCATTCCTTGGGTCCCTTTTCCAGTCAAAGGATGTGGCCATGTTAATATTTCAGGATGTACAGTATTTTTCGCCTCTATAAGATGCACCAGACCACAAGACGCACCTAGTTTTTGGGGAGGAAAACAAGAAAAAAAAAATATTCAGAATCTCAAGAAGCCAGAACAGCCAAGAGGAATCGCTGCTGGCAGTTGATGATAAAGCCAGCAATCCCCTTCTTGCTGTTCTGGCTTCTGGGATAGCTTGCGCAGCCTGCAATTTGCCTCGCATAAGACGCACACACATTTCCACTTACTTTTTAGGGAGGGAAAAGTGCAGTATTAAGAGCAAAGAATAAGTAAGGTCTCCAAACTGCTGAGAAGACTTCAGTGGGGTTTTTACTTGCCAGTCACAGGGAGGGGGGGCCTTTTTTTCCCCAAAAGCCCTTAGGCATGTAACAAGCATGAAAAGCAAAAAACAAAACAAAACAACCTTCTTGAATTTCACAAAGTAGCGCTGCAACCCTTAAGGAAAAAATACGCTGCCCCGTTCATTTTTTCAATGGTTGGATTATGTTCTGATAACCACCCGCAATCTATTTAACGTATCCACTGGTGCGAGCGTGGAGCGTCACTTCTGGCTTCAGAGACTGATGCGAAAGGGAAGGGCTTTTTCTATCAGTGTTGATTTTTCACAAGGGTCAACTGAACAGTTTGGGCAGTTTAAGTGCATCTAGCTATTTTGAGGGATGCAGGTGGCGCTGTGGTCTAAACCACTGAGCCTAGGGCTTGCGATCAGAAGGTCGGCGGTTCGAATCCCTGCGACTGAGTGAGCTCCCGTTGCTCGGTCCCTGCTTCTGCCCAGCTAGCAGTTCGAAAGCAGTCAAAGTGCAAGTAGATAAATATGTACCGCTCTGGCGGGAAGGTATACGGCCTAGGCTCTGTGGTTTAACCCACAGCACCACCCGCATCGCTCTGGAAGAAGGTACAGGGTTATAAAGACTAGGACTAGCAGCCTGAGAAACAATTTCTACCCAAATGCGATTTTGGTTTTAAACGCTGCGTAAGGTAGTCTCTATGGGAGTATATTGTATTTAATTATGGGGTATCAGAGTTTTTAGGGGGCCTATGGTGCTGGAGAAGACTCTTGAGAGTCCCATGGACTGCAAGAAGATCAAACCTCTCCATTCTTAAGGAAATCAGCCCTGCGTGCTCACTGGAAGGACAGATCCTGGAAGCTGAGGCTCCAAGACTTTGGCCATCTCATGAGAAGAGAAGACTCCCTGGAAAAGACACTGATGCTGGGAAAGATGGAGGGCACAAGGAGAAGGGGGCGACAGAGGACGAGATGGTTGGATAGTGTTTTCGAGGTTACCAGCATGAGTTTGACCAAACTGCGGGAGGTAGTGGAGGACAGAGGTGCCTGGCCTGCTCTGGTCCAGGGGGTCACGAAGAGTCGGACACGACTAAACGACTAAACAACAACAACAACAACCAGGCTGAGATAGCTGGGATAGCAGGCTTGTGGGGTTTTGAATGTCTGATGTAGATTTTTTCAGTTTCGTTGTTCTGTATGGGACAATGACGATAAAGATTATCGTATCGTATTGTATGGTGCCTTTTGACTATACAAGGATCTGCATATAGAGGACGAATTCTCTCTTAGTATATTGAATAAACAGCATGTTAAACTGAGCAAAAAGATCTCTTCACCCCTCCCCTCAAAAGCTCTGATTAGTGAAGGATTAAGATGAAGGAGCAATGCAATTATTTCAAAACAATCGTACATTTGAGCAAAGGACTAATGCAGACACACACTCTTCGTGATTTGTCCGGTCCATACCTTGCTGGCAGAACTGCCCTGGAATCTTGTCTTTAAAAACCAGTCCCAGGAAGGGGAACCCTTTCCCCACTCATCTTCATTTTTGGGACATTTTACACACGTCCAAAGCCAGATTTCTAGTGTGAAGCTGCAACCAGCAGCGGCAGTGGCAGCAATTGCAACTGACAATGTTCTTTCTCATCTGATATCTCCATGTTAGGGTTCTAACTTCGTTAGGCTTCACAATCCATCCTGTTTACGATGAATAATAACCTGTAGGGTGATTTTGGAACATATGCATGAGAAAGATACTGCGTGAAATAATTGCCTGTTTGAAATTATATACGGAAGGGTAGTTGTATTAGTCTATGGTGCTGTTATTTATTTGCAGAATTTATACTCCACTCTTAGCAAAAAGGTTCTCAGAGTGCTTGTGAAATTAGCTATGAGACAGTCCCCCACCTTCACATTCACAACCTAAAAGAGCACGACACGTGAGGAAAAAGGAGTGGGAGGAGGAGGGAAAAGCAAGCTCAATCACCAATTCATAAAGTTGCAGTTCTTAAAGTTGCAGCCAACTTTAAAGACCAACAGATACATCATCGTCATTATTTAATTAACTTACGAATTGCCTTTCACATGAGGCAGTTTGCAAATATCCATAAGCACAGCTAAAAAATAGTTTCGAAAACAATACAAAAATCCAACTAAATATTAGTTTTTAGAAACGATACGAAAGACTCTCCAGTTGTTTTTGGGAAAACACAGATGGGGTGCACCTGTCATATCTCAGCGGTGATCCTGTTTCCCTGAGAAATTGTTACAGGGTCTTATATTGGTACCTTAGGGCACATTGCAGCAATCCAACCTTGAAGTTACCCGTGCATAACTAGTTAATAAACATGGATTTGTTCAGCTTTTCTTAACCTCTAGATATTCTGTGGCATCTCATGATTAGCTTGCTGTAGCATTTATGGCCTATGGTGTCTTCAGCCTGTGGCCCACCGAATATTCAAAACCACCTCTTGTCCGCAGGCCCTGTGGGAATGGCCGCTGCCGCTGCCGTGGCGACGGGCAAGAAAAGGAAACGCCCTCACGTCTTTGAGTCCAACCCGTCGATCCGCAAGAGGCAGCAGACGCGTTTGTTACGGTAAGAGCGTCTGAACGCAAAAAACTGCCTCACACTGGCCCGGCATTGTCTTCCTCCAACTGGGAGCAGTTCTCCAAGGTTTGGGGGCAGAGAGGGGTCTTTGTCCAGCCCTGCTACCAAGAGAAGAGTCTCACGCTCTACCCAAGTGAGCAATGTGGCCCTGGGTAGTCCAAAGTCAGTGGTCATCTCTGCCCCCTTGCGGGAGTGAATCCCATAGTTTCACTCTATGCTGTCTTGAAGAAGAGAATCTCTTTTGTGTATCAGGGTCCAGCGGTTGACAAGACCCAACTCCTCATGACTTAACAGGATGGCAAGTAGCCAGGGACAAATGGCCTCAATATACAGCGGAAGAGTCTCGTGGTTTCCTTCAAAAGCAGTTTGTCCAGGCTTGAGTGAGCCTTGCAGCAGGTAGACAGGCATGGGGTCTGTTCTCTGAAGTCCTGTTTCCCAGGACCAGGAGAATTTAGGCTTGGAGTATCCTTGCACTTCCCTCCAACTGCCTGCGATTCCAGCAGTCTAGAGAGTTGGGAATCAGTGGCCCGTGCTCTGAGCCCATAGTGCCCGATGCGCCACAGCCATCTTTCAATCTCCAAGTTTCAGGATGAAAGATGTGATTTCTCCCTTCCTCCCGCCTCCACCAGCAGGATAAAGTCCTGGAACCTCCAGGGTCACCATCTGAGCCAGATTGATGAATGAGTGACCCATTGTATGTCCTTCTTCCCCATACCTATAGAGCCATGGATGGGGAGCATGTGTCCCTCCAGATTTTGCTGGACTATATCGTATTTTTTGCTCTATAGGGCGCACCGGCCCATAGGGCACACCTAGTTTTTTTTGGGGGGGGGTAATAAAGAAAAACAAATTTATTCCCCTCCCCCGGCACAGGGCTGGGGCGGGGGAAGCCCGAGCTTCCCCGACCCCAGCCCCCCAGAACAGGCTGCTATCCGCAAGCCTTCGGAGCCCGACGGGAACTCCCGCCGCGCTCAGAAGGCTTGCAGATAGTTGCCCGAAGCCCAGGGAGCCCAGCTCTGCGCTCTCCAGGATGCAGGCTGCTATCCGCAAGCCTTGGGAGCCCGGCGGGAGTTCCTGCCGGGCTCCCAAGGCTTGCGAATATCTGCCTGAAGCCTGGGTGCACTGCAAAGCGATCCCCGGGCTTCGTGAAGCAGGCTGCTATCCGCAAGCCTTGGGAGCGCGGCGGGCACTCCCGTCATGCTCCCAAGGCTTGCGGATAGCTTCCTGAAGCCTGGAACGCGAGAGGGGTTGGTGCGCACCAACCCCCCTCGCTCTCCAGGCTTCAGCGAAAGCCTGCATTCGCCCATTGGACGCACACATATTTCCCCTTCATTTTTGGAGCGAAAAAAGTGCGTCCTATAGAGCGAAAAATACGGTAATTCTCACCCACTCCCCTGACCATTGGCTATGCTGGGGGGGGTCAGCTGGGGTTCTTGAACATCTGGGGGGGCACAGGTTCCCTAGAGGCTGAATTTTTAATATTTTAATGTATTTAATCTTGTTTTTACGTTGCCATTCCATCAATTTGTTTTGATATTGGGTGTTAGCCGCCCTGAGCCCAGTCTTGGCTGGGGAGGGCAGGATAGAAATAAATTTTATTATTATTATTAATTATTATTATTAGTAGTAGTAGTAGTCATCTTCAGGTTAAACCACATGCTGTAGCTAAGGTTTGTTCTGTGACTCGCCACTTGTCCTGTAGCAGACAAAGCACAAGCCTGGGCTCGTGTGCAACATGCTAATCCAAACCATGGCATAGCTCATAGGAGCACATCGCCAGCAGGACCAGAGGATGAGTAAAGCAGCCGCCATTTCCTCTCTGGGAGTCTACGACAATTCGTGATAGGCCTTGAATTGGCTTGTGTCATGTGCAAACCGAGCCACTGTGACTTGCTTCCTTCACCCCATGTTGGCCTTAGCATTTCATTTCCTGGTATCTATCTGCCCATGACAGCAGTCACGAAATTAAAAGACACCTTCTTCTTGGGAGAAAAGCAACGACAACCCTAGACAGCATCTTAAAAAGCAGAGACATCACCTTGCCAACAAAGGTCCTTATAGTTAAAGCCATGGTTTTCCCACTAGCGATGTATGGAAGTGAGAGCTGGACCATTAAAGAAGGCTGATCGCCGAAGAATGGATGCTTTTGAATTCTGGTGCTGGAGGAGACTCTTGAGAGTCCCATGGACTGCAAGAAGATCCAAACCTCTCCATTCTGAAGGAATCAGCCCTGAGTGCTCACTGGAAGGACAGATCCTGAAGCTGAGGCTCCAAGACTTTGGCCACCTCATGAGAAGAGAAGACTCCCTGGAAAAGACCCTGATGTTGGGAAAGATGGAGGGCACAAGGAGAAGGGGACGGCAGAGGACGAGATGGTGGGACAGTGTTCTCGAAGCACAAACATGAGTCTGACCAAACTGCGGGAGGCAGTGGAAGACAGGAGTGCCTGGCGTGCTCTGGTCCAGGGGGTCACGAAGAGTCGGACACGACTAAATGACTAAACAACAACAATCTGCTTATGTGCCATAGGCCCAGTGGCAGAGGAAGCCGCTTGGGTCCCTGGGGTGGCGCGCCCATAGACCCGTGGAGCCTCAGCTCACCGTGGGGCCTCCAGAGTCTCCCTGCCTTGGCATTCAACTTAGTGGGAATTGTGGGCACCTGAAATTTTTAAGCCGTTGTGAATGCCGTAATGGTTGCGCTCCCCTTCAATAGTTGTACTTTGACCCGTTTTCCGGTACTGGAAAGTCGTAGGGTGATGACCAGTCACTCTCGGGTCTGTGGGATGATGCAAATGACGGCCTCTCTAGGAATGTGCATTGCAGCCTCTCAAAGAAGAAAGAAGTTAGCTGCTAGTTGAGAACGCTTCTGTTCCCATGAAAGGCTCTCTTCCTCTAGGGGCACTCTGATGCAACGTTCAGCTGAGCAGATTCATTTCCCTCGGCCTGCTGTTGCAATGTGTTGCCGAGTCTTGCTCAACGCGGCTTGGTGCCAGTGGGATTATTCCAGCAGGTTTGCAGTCCCAGGGCTCCTTTCCGTGCATAAAGTTTTTGGGCACAATTTGAACTGTCCCTCCTACCACCATTTAAAAAAGTTTTTCTTCCAATCTGCTCTTAGTTTCATCAGACAAAAGGTCGCAGAACTTTGTTCTTTCTGATAGGGCTGGACTGCTCAGGGTGGGGGAAAAACCTTGCTCTAAAAAACCTTGCTCAAAATAATAATAATAATAATAATTATTATTATTATTATTACCCCACCCATCTGGCTGAGTTTCCCAATCGAGTGTTAAAAACAATACAGCAATACGATTCAAATCTAGGGGAGTGGCACCGATTTGCAATTCCAGTGACCGCAGCCTAAAAACTGGCTATTCCCTGACTGAAAGCTCCCACCCCATGGATTGACTTGCTGTGATTGGTTAGAGCATGGTGCGGATAACCCCAAGGTTGCAGGTTCAGTCCCTGTAAGGGACAGCTGCCTACTCCTGCATTGCAGGGGGTTGGACTAGATGATCCTCAGGGTCCCTTCCAACTCTTACGATTCTATATGCTGCAGAATGTTGGTGAATGCTGACACTGCTAAGAGGAAAAGTCAGTCACAGGAGGCAGAAAATTCAGTACAACTGATGTAGTGGAAGTGAAAGGTTCGACTGAAGGAGAAGTAGGGGAGTCTTAATGAAATCCATAAGCCACACCCCCAACTCCTGCTTGTTGTTGTTGTTTAGTTGTTTAGTCGTGTCCGACTCTTCGTGACCCCCTGGACCAGAGCACACCAGGCACTCCTGTCTTCCACTGCCTCCCACAGTTTGGTCAAACTCACGTTGGTAGCTTCGAGAACACTGTCCCACCATCTCTTCCTCTGTCGTCCCCTTCTCCTTGTGCCCTCCATCTTTCCCAACATCAGGGTCTTTTCCAGGGAGTCTTCTCTTCTCATGGGGTGGCCAAAGTCTTGGAGCCTCAGCTTCAGGATCTGTCCTTCCAGTGAGCACTCAGGGCTGATTTCCTTCAGAATGGAGAGGTTGGATCTTCTTGCAGTCCATGGGACTCTCAAGAGTCTCCTCCAGCACCATAATTCAAAGCATCAATTCTTCGGCAATCAGCCTTCCTGATGGTCCAGCTCTCACTTCATGGATCACTGCCTTGCTGTGGTGAAGGGGCTTGAATAACTCAGAGAAGCTATGAGCTATGCCGTGCAGGGCCACCCAAGATGGACAGGTCATAGTGGAGAGTTTTGACCAAACGTGATCCACCTGGACCAGGAACTGGCAAGCCACTCCAGTATCCCTGCCAAGAAAACTCCATGGACAAAGACAACTCCTGCCAATTTTAGCCAAATCATGACTCTCCCTGTGGTCTCCTTTCTTTTTTTTTAATAGTTAATTGCTAAGGGGGCTAGAACCTGTCTGCGTCTCCCCTCCCTTAATTTTAGCTCTGGAAGAAAATGGTCCCATAGACTAGGGGCAGGAAGTGTGTGCATGGAGGCGAGGGAATAAGAGGGGCTTGAGGGCCATAGCGGCTGAGGCAGGGGTCAGCAAACTTTTTCAGCAGGGGGCCGGTCCGCTGTCCCTCAGACCTTGTGGGGGCCGGACTATATTATGAAAAAGAAAAAAAAAGGAACACATTCCTATGTCCCACAAATAACCCAGAGATGCTTTTTAAATAAAAACACAGTTTCTGCCCATGTGAAAACACCAGGCAGGCCCCACAAATAACCCAGAGATGCATTTTAAATAAAGGACACATTCTACTCATGTAAAAACACACTTGATTCCCGGACCATCTGCAAGCCGGATTTAGAAGGCGATTTGGCCGCATCTGGCCCCCGGGCCTTAGTTTGCCTACCCATGGGCTGACTTAGGTTAAAGACCTGGAGGGAGATGGGGAAAGACTCATATGGGGCCAAAGAAGAGCAGGGCTGTTGATGAGAAGATGGGATGCAGAGGGTTTAAAAAAAATTTATGCAGCCAAGTTTGAAATGCCAAGTCTCCATAC